GTTTAGACTTATGGGGTCTCAGTGAAAAGGTATTTTCCCATTATTTTTATTTCTGTGCAAAAAATACATAGTTACATCCCGAATTAATAAAAGGAAGGTAAAAAGGGTGAGAAATTACCTTCCCAATGATTCCTCACATTTTCGTTGTTGGTGTTTCCGACAGGGCAGGAGTGTGATGTAATGTGGAACGATTTTCCGTCATCCCTTGTCAAATTTGGTTTGGAGACAAACCGGTTTCGGCGTTGTGCCGTCTTCAGTGTCATTTTTCGTTCGAAAAATACCAAATTTGGCAAGGGATGACGCAAAATCGTTCCTCACATGTCCAAATCGGAATAGTTTAGGTTCAGTTATTCAAGTTTTTCTTATACCAATCTTTGAAAAGAGTTAAAAAACGGCATCAAAAATCGCATTTTTACGATTCCGTTCAAAATTTTTTTTTTTATTTTTTTTTTTTTATGCAAATTTTTTAAGCTTAACCGGTTTTGTCAATTGAGGGGATTTTATGCAAAACAATTTTTAAGAAACTATTATTATTCATAAAAAACTCAATTTTTGAAGGTATTTTCAATTCAGTCTTGCTCACGTAAATCGTAATATTTTTCCGAAATATTTTGGTGGACGTCTTAAAATATAATAGATTTTGTAATTCCAATGGAAACACAGCACCGATTTTTTTTTGTTTTTGTATGGGAAGTGATGCAGTCTAATGTACATACATACATATATACATATGTATGGTCAAGTGTTATAGAGTTGTGAACTCATTTTTTGCTTCACGTGAACTCTTAACTAAATACAAGGAGCAGTTGCCATGTTTTTAATCCACACATTTGCACAGTGCAATTATATGCTTCTACATATATAAACATCTCAATGTACATATACGGGTATGTACACACATACTATATGCATGCAAATGTATTGGTACGCCAAAATGTTACTGCCTATGCATGAAAAATTTTAATTAATTTAAAATGTACGTACTGAATATGAAAAACTCGCAAACAAATGTACATTTATTAAGTGTCAGAATGCTAAAGCGAAGTTGGAATTACTAAAACAATGATTTTTCTGCATTGCTCCTGCTCATATGTTCATACCAGGGATGTTGCGAATATTTGCATTCGCATTCGTTATGCGAATGATTGGCATCATTTTACACATTCGCATTCGACATTCGCATTCGCATCAAATGTTACCAATGTTTTGCGAATGCCAATACCGGTTCGGATGTAGACTCTGGAAATATTAAGAAATGTGAAACTAAAACTAAAAAAATTGAAGGTTTATCTCAAAGAAAAACGAGCTCATCTCGGTGAAAATCCTCTCGATTGGTGGAAAACTAAACTAAAGTTTAAGTACTAAAAACGATGACTGAACTTTATTATAGATTAGAGCAATCAAAGTCTTAATCATTCATGACAAAATTTTGATGTGGCGACATTATGATCGGAACCTATGGTAATAGATATCAACATCTTCACTTTAGCATCATCATTGTTGTTATTACCATCCTTCTGCGCTTTTTACACGCAAGCCAGTAAAATTTTGTTACGAGTCTTCTTGTTTTGGCGTTTTAGTACTCAGAAACTTGCAAAGCAAGAGTCAAGTTAAATGGATAAACTATTGGAGACCAGACAATTTTTACTAAATTTTCCATCTCAAAAGCTTTAGAATACCGTAACATTTATTTCGCAATCTTCTCTCGTTCTCGAGATTTTAAATTTGGTGGCAACGAAAGTTCAGTTTCCATACTGTGCGCCTAACGTGAACGCCGCTTAACGTGAAAACAGATTTTTTTTTTTTTAATTAACTACTCTGTAAAGTGAATAAAAAAATTAGTTACTTTGTCTATAAAAGGAATATGTGAATATGAAAAATTTAACTTTTTCTGATATTTAATTTTGTTTACAAATGATCTATCCTTTTATGCCACCGAACAAAGTTAGCCGTCCTTTTTCGCTCTCGCGGGGTATCCATGCCAATCAGTGCGAGTTTTTAAAGCGAAAAAGGCGGTGAAAGCGACAATAATGTACTTGATGAAAATCAATAAAAAGTAACTCCTCATCGGTAATATTGCACAAGCCGTAAACGGAGTTCATCTTGATTTTTTGGTTTTAATTAGTTCACTTTATTGCGAGCGCACTGGATATGCAAATGTATCTATTTGAAGCTGATTTTTAGGCAAAATGTGGTCGAACTTGCTTAGAAAAATTTACACAAGTAACTGAATAAAAAACAGAAGTAATTAAGAGGGCAGAGAACAGACATATACATATATGTACATATTTATTTATATATAGGCGCATTAAGAAGTGCTTTCACCGGACACTTTGTGCTCTTTTTTAAGCACCCTCACAATTTCCAATATTTTTGTAACGGTGAAAGCAACATCTGATCCTTTAATTGATTTCGAGTGAAGAAAAGTGTTCAACTACTTTCTCATCTATCTCAAGTGCGTGTGTGATACATAACAACAACAACGACAACGATCAATGAAAGCAATCTGCTATAGAAAAAGCTCCGTGCCAAGAAACTAGTTGAAGCTTATAAAGCAAAAACAAAAAAGCATCGAAGTATGTATGTACATACATGTGTAGGTGTATGCGAATTGAAAAGTTTCTACTATGTAGTCTTACAAAACCCACAGGTCGGAAAGAAAGTTCAAGTTAAAACTCAAACAAAAAATTTGTTAGCACGAATAGTTGATTGGGTTTCTTATTGGGTGCGTGCGTGCCATCCACATTGGGGCGTATGGAATGGAGCAGGCGTGGCGTGTGTGTGCATCGATGATTCTCTCTGTGGTTATCCTACGTGCTAATAGCCAAGCGCTGTGTATTAACCGCGGCTGCAGCAACACCTAAATAATGTGTAAAAGAGGAGAGGGGGAAAACGATAAGAAAAAGGTAGAAATAAATCACTCTCCCTATAATGGTTTCTTGTTCAATAAAATGAGAATCGAGTATCCGTCTGCGTGTCTTTCACGATTGTGGATTTCTTTCTTGGCTATTCGTTTTCTAATGTGGTTTTGTATTTGAACGCTGGACCAAAGAAAATTACACAATTGCGCGTAAAGGATTGAGAGGCTATAAAATAAATGGAAATTCTATACAAATACGTCAATTGCGGAAAAATTATTACAGATGCTAAATGGAAAAGCTAATTTAAATTTATAGATATAATACATATCGGCGCCACCTCGCCACCGTGTAAGAGGCTGATAAATTTTAAATGATTTAAATTGAGTGGTGCGACCGGGCATGAGTCACATGGTTTTCGTTGGGGTATAAACTATATTTTCGTAAAAAATAAAAAAATAAATGGTCAAAACTTCTAAAGAAGTAGTGTCACTAATCGTGTGGTCACCACTGTATATCTATAAATATCGTCATTTAAAAACCGCGTATCCATCATCACCTGCTGAGTAAATTTTTCAAGACTTAAACTTTTGTTAATACGAGGGATGTTTCCAAAGTTCTGGGAACTTATAGGCAATGTTTTTGGTGCCAGACAAGTCTAAACATGTTTGTGCAATTATCTAGTGCAATATTGTTCAGTCTGATTTAGGTGTTCGACAGATATAGACGCGATTTCATAGCACTGTTTCTGTAGCCGTGGAGGATGCAGCAAAATCTCCAAGAACAGTTATTTTCTTTATATGAAAAGAAGGTGTGAAAACATCAGAAATTATTCAGCGGACCTCTGCGACAGGCACTTGTCAAAAAATGGCCTGAAAAGTTGCATAAGCGTCCGTTATTGTAACAGGATAATGCAAGACTACACACCGCAAGAAAAACGAAGACTGTTTTGAACTATCTACGATGGGTGTTGCTTCCGCACTCGCCTTATTCCCCCCAGTTCTTGCACCCCAGTTATTATCAGCTATTCCCAGATTTGAAAAAACTCGCGATTTAAACGTTTAATTAATGCAAAACGTGCGATAAATAGGTAGATTGAGGAGACATCGAAAAAGTTAAATGGAGATTATGTTGGAACATTGGAAGCATTTGTAAGTAGGAAAAAAAACATTTTAGCAAGTTTTGGGTACACTTTTTGTTCAAAAAATTTTTATTATTTTTTGTATTAAAATTTAGCTTACTATCTAAAAAAAACAAAAAAATGCAAATCAAAATTTCAAACTTTGCAGAACCTTTATAAAAATTCGACGAGTTTTGTAGGCTATTAAATTTTAATATAATAAATTGCAATTTTGAAGTACTTAGCTAAGATTTTTGACAATTCGACAATTTTTTTTTATGCCAGAAATTAGCAACAGCTTCCATAAAAAAAAAATACCAAAAATCAACGGTAAGTTCGATGGCCTACACATTTTTCAAAGAAATCTATTTAAAAAGCTCAAAATTTTGATGAAACTTTGTCGAATTTCGCTAATTTTTTTTGCAAGGTTTGAAATTTTGACTTACATGTTTTTTGTTAGATACCGAGCTACACTTTCATAAAAAAATAATAATAAACGGTAAATAATCGAAAGAGAAGTAGCCAAAATATTTATATTTTCGCAACTGTACATGTAAACCGTTATAAGCACTTAAATATCCTCTTATCGGGTAAGTAAAAGAGGTAAAATGAAACCAAAACAACGGTCGCTTTAAGTTTCGTGAAGAGTATTTTTTCATTGTCGTATAGTGTGATATCTTAAGATCTCAAAATCCACGCTTGATAACTCCGTTTCGCAATTGGGAAATTTTCTATTAAATATTTAATATTTCGGGGAATTATATACATATATACTTTACAAACAGTTTTTAGATTATTGTAAGATGTTAAAACACGAATAATTACAAATTCTAAGTTCGCCCCGGGACAAAATTGTACTTTTTCTCGTTTAACCGAATAACAGCTTTAATTCTACTTAAAATTTATATTCATGCATTCTTAACCAACATTTGTACGTAATAGGAACCTACACTCCAATTTGTCGCATTGAAGTCGCAAACCTAATTTCAACTTTCGCTTTTATACCCTCTACATATTCACAGGCCACTCCTACAAAAGCATCAACGATGAAATTATTTGGGTGAGCATCGGCATGGGCGTCACCATAATTGTCCTAATCACAATCGCACTCTGCTACATTGCTTACGAGAAATGCCACAAGAAACGCGAATATTACATTAATGCATAACGTGGCATGCCACACTGCGTGCCAAACACCTTCGAAACGTTGAATTTCAAAAGCAACTTGCAGCTATTAACGCCAACCAACGCCAGCAGCAGCAGCAGCACCGCCACCACCACCACCGCCAAACAGTGCAACACGGGCCTCGCTCGTAACACATGCAATAGCAGCGAAGTTGCAACAACGTAACCAAAAACTATGTAACGTATTTGCCAAGCATAAGTGAGTGTGGTAACGGTACATTGCTATGGCAATAAGTGCAGAAAGTAGAATAAGTAGCGGAAGCGGAAAGTTAAAACAAGGTAGCGCAAAAAAAGGAACATGAAATGTATATGTAAAGGCAGAAGAGGGGAAGGGCGAAAATTAAGGAACGTGCAGTTACATGCTTTGCGAATTCTAACCGCAACAGGAAAAACTTCGAATGGCGTGGGAGAAGCTGCCTACCACCACCAACCATCGGAAACAAACCGCCTTCAAAAAAAAAAAAACATTCACAACGGAATAAAGAATTTTCTTTTTATGGGCAAATGTATGTATGTATGTATGTATGTATGTATGTATACAGTATATGCGAATATCTACAAGTAAATACCGCAGATTTCTATGTAGCATACCGAACCTATGTACATTTTGCACAACGAAATAGAGCAGCGCCCGACGCCCCAGTAAATCGTAATGAGCCAAACAAAAAAGCGCACGAAATTGCACACGAAATTGCATTTTAAACACAGTGTTGCAAAATGAGGGAAGCATTACATTTTGCAACCGTTACAGTAATGACAACAATGACACTGGCGATTTGTTGACGATGCTGCCCTTTTGGCCATCATGAAGAATTTCCAACAGGATGCAAGCAGCGCATCAACTCTCCTCTACGGCAACACACAGCAATAAAAATGAGCACACACATACATGGCATACATACACTTAAAAGAACTTATGTTGCATATTTAGTATAATGCAAACACACATATACATACATACATACATACATACATACGTAAATGCGTATAAACATTTCTAACTGTACGATGTATGTATGTAGTTTGAGTTAGATATTATACTAAACTAATAATGGGAAGAAATTTAATAATGTAAGTATGTATGTTTACATATAGCCGTATTTATTACATTCGAATCTAATGGCATAATGTTTACCTAGAACGTATGGGCAAATCTCCGGAACCGTGCGACTCAACGCTAAACGTAAAACGTAAATTTTTAAATTGAACGCACGAAAATAAATTATACCACAAATTGTTCGAAATCCATTGAGGAAACATTAAATTCTTGTGTGGTTCATTTTTCTCAAATGCTTAAAGAGTAGAAAACTAAAATTTTCGAAAACTCAAGGTTAGCGATATTTCTAGAGGGCGTAGTTTTTGTCCGATTTCAAAAATTTTCAAGACAGTATTTAAGAGGGTCAGTGTGAAGTGGTTTTCGAGATGCAAATATTTGACATAAGTGGGCGGGTCACGCCCAGTTTCCAAAAAAATTTACGAAAAACTAATTTTCACCTAAGATCCATTGAAAACATAATTTTTGAGTACCGCAGTGCCCAAATATCTGAAAATCCTTTACATACACACATACAATATAAATTCATGGCCGTATTTTAGACAAACATTATTTTGTGCATTTAGCATTTTCAACGAACTTTATGAAGAATTTTATCTAAAGATCACGCTTAATGCCAACCTTCTATGTTTTAGTCTGTCAGTGTGCTATCAAAAAAATCTGAAATTTTAAGCCATCAACGCAAAGACCTATTCAAACAATATTTGTTATATTTTCAATATTTTGAAAGGCATACAACTGTAAAAGCTATTGTTTTATTATTTTATGTGTAATTAAAATGTATATCGCTGAAAGTGGAAAATGAAAAAAAGAACTTAAGATATTACCTTTTTGACAATTACGGGTGACAGACTTCAAATTGTTACAGTTTATTTCCAAAGGCGAGCACATACATATTTTTCTCAACGCCCAATACATTTTCCAATATCACATGTATACTATTTGCTATGATTTTTGAAAGTCTCTATTTTGCGCTGAAAAATTTATACTCAAAAAACTTACAAAAGGTACCCAAAGTGGCACGTGAAAATTTTTATTTTAATTATGACATTATCAAAATAAAAAGAATTAAATAAGTTACAAGAACTCATCACATTTGTTATCAAAAAAAAAACAAAAGTTTTTTATAAAAATAAAATTACATTAATAAAATTAATTTGAAGATGAGAGACAGAAAAGCACACGTTTCCAGAGACTTGCCCATATACAACTTACATATATTAATAAACTTATGTGTCAACGATGTCATTTTAAAGAATTTATAAAAGTAGATTTACTTTAGCCAAACGATGATACTAAAAGGTGACTTTACAAGGAAAATATAAATGATCCCACATCTAAAAAAAAAAGCTTTAAATAATTATAGGTAAGGCCTTTGGAAATTGGATTGAACAAAAATTACTTTATAAATAATTACATGAATACCCAAATATTAGATATATGTATACATATTAAAAGCTGAAAATATTACTTTAAAAGTTGGATACTTTAATCGAATTTTAGTAGTGAAAGTAGAAAAACATTTATGATATTTATGTATACGTAGTATATGTATTATAGTTTTTATTGTGTAGCCATATATACACATACATACATACATATATGTACTTATGTATAGATGGAAAATTTAGTGAAAGCTAAGCATTAGGGAACGAACAGAAAAATGTTTTTAACCATGATCTTAATACTCCTACATACATATATATTCATCAATGATATTATTTTGTAAAGTATATACCTAAGTACTTAAATACATACATATGTACTTATTGTGTAAGAGTTTCACATTTTCTGAAAAAAAAATTTGATTCTTCCAAGTTATCTAGAGGTCATGCCGAGGTCATCTCCAGATCAAATTCAGAAAACTTGTATTGCATTTTCGGGTTTTTCAACGAGTTTTTCTCTACTTGACCTTCAAATGACCTCGAGTCAGACGTGATGGAGACTAACAGCTCTCGGATTCGTATTCAGGGCGTCGAATACTATAGGGATATACAGGTTTGGTTCAATATACAGAATTTTTTTTTTTTCTAAGCCTGTGTAATTAATGTAAAAAAAATGATCATGTGTAATAATTCTGAATATTATATTAGAACAAGGGCGATTCTGAAAATTAATTATAATTTGACACTGGCTATATATGCAGAAATATTTATAGAAAATTTATTTTTTTACACGAATTCAAAAAATATTAAAATTTTTGTTAACGTTCAATATCTATTATAAAAAAATATATACATATGTATTTTTGATGGGGGGCAAAAATACTTGGATATCGTGGTACACAAAATTTTGATGAAGTGGCAACCGTGGTCAATACTTTATATCCAAAATGCAATTTTTAAGTATCTAAAAGCATACAAAAGACGGTAGCGTTGATTCGCCCCTACTCGTTAAATCAGAATTATATCGGTACTCAATCGCCAACGAGGTAGATGTCCAGGCTAGTTTTACATGTTTTCACCACTTCGGGCGATTCTTGAAAATCATTTTAATTTATACTTTTCTATGTTGTGTTATTTCACATAATTATTTCAAGGTGATTGAATTTTTTAGAGTGTTAATTCAATAAATAGGCCACAACAACTATAATTGCCAGGGAACGGATTTTTTGGGACCTAAACGGCAAAATAAAATAGCAAAAAAGGCAAAAGAAGGCACAAAAAAGACAAAAACTGAAATATTACACTGGTTTACAGGAAAAATATTCAACGGACGCTGCTCTCCCATTCCTATATAGAATTGTTCGCTGGTACCGAAAGTCGAGTTAATTTTTAATTCTATGGAAAGTTTTCGAGATATTTTGAGGTGTACATGGCGTATGAGTAACATTCTTTCCTGCTCATTTTTCATATAAAAAATCCTTGCGCATTTTCATAGGACCACTTATTACTTCTGTATTTATCCATCGATTTTCTTCATTATCAACTTGATTTTTTTTTTTTTTAACAGAACGGGCTTTAACACAGCTTTGGATGTACTAAACGTGCGCTCGACGTGAGTTGATACAAGTGGCGCCCAATTTAAATATGGAACGTTTGAAATTTTTATATTATCGGGATTAAGGGCTTTATCTTCGCGCTATAATCACTTTTTTAAAGGTACAATAGGCAAAAAAAGGCAACATCAAATGTGTATACTTATACGAAATTAGGGAAAGCTAAATCGTGGACATTCTTAATCGAATATACTCTATTTCTTTAGCAGAAAAAAGGCAATTTCCATAAAATCCGTTCCCTGATAATTACATTAAAAAAATAAAAGTAATAATTGTTGAACATGGTTTTCTGACGTTACCGGCACCCTGTAATATGCATGTGATCGATAAGCAGTCGATGTGTTTAACTGGAAGTTAAAGTTAACCAGACATGGCTACAGGCACATGCGTGTACACTTTATAGGTTATATTTCTTCTTCTTCTTATTTGGCACTAAAGCCGTTTTCGGTTTGGGAACTGCCGCTTAAAAACCTCACCCAATGAGAATACATAGGTTATGTTTAGTGCAGCGGTAATCACTTGGTATACCCTCCCAGAGTACGTAGAAAACCTGCTCGCAGTTGAGAAACCCGCAGTCTGCTACATTGCAGAGGATATGCTCTGCACATAACTCCTCTATCAGCATGGCTGTTTGGACCAAATTCCAGTAAATTTTTAGGAGAAATTTGTTTAAACGGAAGTGAATCCTTTTAACCAGTTTCACGAAAGCAATATGATTTTTTTTATTTGAATTTGATATGGAAAAATAATTTTTCACTTAAAAATCGACCCATTTAGAAACGAATATTTCTGTTGTTTGCCAGAAAATTCTTAACGCAATTCCAAAAAAATGCGAAGAAGAAACTAATCAAACTTAACAAAAGTAGTCGCGAAAATGAGCCATATATAACACTGGTCTACAAATTTCAACTTTTTTTCTGCGAATAAGACGGGACCTGGTGTTTCTGAACGGATTTTTCGTGCTGAACACGAATCCGGGGTCAAAAATGTCCCATCACGTCACGTTTTCGAGAAAAAAGGGGTTGAAACCCCTAAAAACAGCGTTTTTGGCCATTTTCGAAAAATTATAGAGCTGAACCCTGACGTGGTACAAATTTTGCATATATCAGAAATTAAAGGCTAAACCGTGCCCTTTCGAATGAGCCCTATGCCGAATTGATCGCGTGCACCCTTAAAGCAGGGGGTGTATTTGTGTTTAGGGGTGCAGGAAAAATTGATCACAGAAAGAATTTAATCTTAAACGATCATAGAAAATTAATAATGCCAAGGTTTTAACTATATTAAAAGTCGCTGATTACGAATCTGCAGTTAGATTTTAAAAATTTAAGAAATTTATATGGTCGTTTAAGATGAAATTCTTTTTGCGATCAATTTTCCCTGGACTCCTAGACACAAATACACCCCCTGATCTAAGGGTGCATGCGATTAATTCGGCATAGGGCTCATTCGAAAGGGCACGATTTAGCCTTTAATTTCTGACATATACAAAGTTTGTAGCACGTCAGGGTTCAGCTCTACAATTTTTCGAAAATGTCCAAAAACGCTGTTTTTAGGGGTTTCAACCCCTTTTTTCTCGAAAACGTGACGTGATGGGAAGTTTTGGACCCCAGATTCGTGTTCAGCACGAAAAATCCGTTCGGAAACACCAGGTCCCGTCTTATTCGCAAAACCCTTGTAGACCAGTGTAATCAATGAAAATTAAGTTGACTAGGTTTCTCAACGGCCGAAGAAGCTGACGCAGCTCTCAAAAACCTTGTAATTTAAAATACTTCAATCGGAATGGAAAAAATGTTGGGAGTAGTAAGAAAGTCATTAAAAGCACACTTAAAACCCATCCAAAAAAATTTGCAGCTTTCATTAACTGCCTAACTACTGGCCGAATTTCCACCGCAGGTAACGGATTTGGCAACTTCCAACTTCCAGTTCAATTGTTTTCTCATAAAAAGTCTTTAGTCATTATTACTAATTAAAATAAATCCAAATAAAGAGCCAGTACTGTAGTTTTAGCGATACAATGGCAAATAATATGAACTTTACTTTATCGACATCAACGAAATGAGAAAATTTAAAAAAAAAAATTTAACCCTTTAAGATGTAATTACTTGATTATTTCTAAATAACAGCAATAATCAATGAGGCATATTTAAATATTATTTTTTTTTTAACAATAACCAATTCAATAACTATTTTAAAAACCTCCATTTCAACTCCAAAGATACATAATTATGTAGCAGGTATCGTAGATACATATAAAATAAGTGTTACCATGGAAAAATTTTTTCATTAACGAAAAATATGTAAAAAAAAAGAAACTAACGTGTATTATTAACATACTCATTTTTAAACATATTAAAGGTTTTTAAATTATTTAAATAAATAATAAATATGTATTTAAAGAAATTATTTGGCTGTTTTCATAAGAAACTACACGAAAAAAAATTGTTTCGATTATCTCATAAATGATGAAAGTATGTACTCTTAAAGCAAATATATTTATAAATTTATATATTTTTTCCACCTGATCTTTCTATCGCCTAGGAGACCTTCCTCTTCCCCTTCTACCATCTACGGGTATTTTAGATCACATCGTCTCTAATTGCAATTCTATAACTCTTAGACTAACTTTTCGTCGATTAGGTTGGAATCGTCGGTTGGTTGCCTTTAAACCGGCTAGAATGATGACGCCGGACTATTCTTTTAAGCACTCCTCTGCAGACGAATCGTTCGTGCGGCCAATCGTTCGATATAGATAATAAGGCTAAGGTATTATTATTATTTCCCCAGCATCAGATTAAATAATTTGCTCTGTTTGAAACCTCGTTTGGTATCAAACGGCTCGGAGAGTTGCTTTCCATTTATGACGGAGCTAATGAAGGCGACTTTAGAATCTACGAAGAGAATGTGTGTTTCGATCCTCCTCTCGCCAAGATTTTGCGTGTGGTGAATACGAGGTCCCTAGTGGATTTACCAGATCTAAAGCCACGGCCCAATCAGTATGTTTATGTTTAGTGGCCTTTCACACAATATGTACTTTCGAAAAAACCTTGTCACTAGGTCGGCATGGTTGTTCTTACAGGAATTCGTCCAGGTATTGAAACTTTCCACTTTCTCAACTTTACCAAATTTTAATTGCTGTTTATAGAAAATTATTTATGTCATTTAATTTTTCTTAAAACACTTCCATACTGTGAACACAAAAATTTTAAATGACACAACAAGGTCATAGAAGCAGAATATTAATAAACAATTATGGTACAGTAGTCGAGAGCTAAGCTAAAGTCAAGTTCAAAAAAAAAATGTCAAAGAGATATTTTAGCTAACAGTTTTGCGGATTTTCCTCTAATGAGTCTGTCAGATGCTCGTAGCAAAGTGAAAATTGTCTTAATTTCGTTTTTACTGGCGCTGCTGCCACTGCTAAGCTATTTTGGTAAGACACTTTTTCTTCGCACAGCACTTTTTACACTTGAGTCTCAATTCATGTCAAAGTAATTAG